AGCTCATTGAGCACTCATCAAGTGCTGGGGACATGGTCTAGTGGGGCTCACACTGCCACATTGCAGGAGGTAACTACCTGGACAGGAGGGCCACTTTCCCCGGACAAGCCCTGCCTTGGCATCCTGCACCCCAGGGAGAGTCAGCCTGCTAATCCAGACGCTGCCTCCTGCAGCTACAGCTATTTTCTTCCTTCTATTTTTGCCTGTTTTATTAGGTGGCAGGCCTGCAGGCTATTCCTACCAAAATGACTTGGCCAAAACGTAATTTAAGCAGATAATAAGCACTGATCTGGATAATTTAGACCCCCAAAAGACACCTTTGTCCATCTTGAATTATTTAAATGAGTGCTGGACTGAACTAATTCACACCTAATTCAGCAGCATATCTGCTTCCCAGGTGTCCAAAAAGACGCTTTTTGATAAAAAGCCTGGACTCTAGCTTAAGTCAACAGGCCCTTCCTAACACAGACCCCACTCCTAACAGGGACCAGTGACAAAAAAGGAGCCCTTTCATGCCTGGATGGAGAGTTACTAATTGAGAAAATAGTACTTACAAGAAGTCCTGAGGCACCCTGGCTGGTTTGGCTCAGTGGTTAGAGCATTGGCCTGCATTCCAGAGAGACTGGGGTTCGGTTCCCACTAAGGGCACATACCTTGGTTACAGTTTGTCCCTGGCCCTGGTCGGGTCATGTGGGTGGCAGCCACTCGATGTGTCCCTTTCACATTGATGTTTCTCTCTCTCTTCCTCTCTCTCCCTCCCACTCTATCTGAACAAAAAATGAAAGAAATGACCTCGGGTGAGGATAAAAAATAAAAATAAAAAAGTCCTGAGGAAAAACCCAAAGCACCAAGCCAAGTATCTTTTTTTTTTAAATTAATTTATTCATTTTTGTTATAGATATTTCTCCTTTTCCCCCCACTGATACCCCCTCCCCCTCAAGTATCTGTCTTGTGACGTGTAAACAGGTCACATCCTCAGTACTGATGGCTGTCATTTGAGTGATAGCATTTGTTAGCCATCTGAGCCCACAATGCAGAATGATATCACTAAAAACAGAGCCATGGACTTGGCTGGACTTGGGTTTGAATTATAAATATGCCACTTCTTAACAAGTGGGGCTAACTTCCTCATCTGTGTACTGGGTATAACAGGTTCTTTATGAGAACGTTAGAGATGATGCATGTAGAAGTGCCGGCAGCTGGCGGCATTTGGCACATGGTACCTGCTACTTCCTTTTTTTAAAAAAATTTTTTTCTTTACTGATTTGAGAGAGAAAGGGAGAGGGAGAGAGAGAGAAACATCAATGAGAGAACATTGATTGGCTGCCTCCTGTATGCCCCCCACTGGGGATTTGGCCCATAACCTGGCATGTGCCCTGACCAGGAATCGAAATGGCAACCTCTTGGTGCATGGGTCGACGCTCAACCACTGAGCCACACCTGCTGGGCCTGCTACTTTTTTTTTATCCTCACCCAAGGACTTTTTCTATTTTTTGTTCAGATAGAGTGGAAGGGAGAGAGAGAGAGAGAGAGAGAGAGAAAGAAACATCGACGTGAAAGGGACACATCGAGTGATTGCCACCCACACGACCCAACCAGGGCCGGGGACAAACTGCAACCGAGGTACGCGCCCTTAGCCCCGGGTCTCTCTGGACTGCAGGCTGACGCTCTAACCGCTGAGCCAGACCGGCCAGGGCCCTGCTACTTCTTGACTCATGAGCTCATATGTTTTTTTCTGAAGCAAGAATTAATATTTTGAAAAGTTGGTTAATTGGCCAAACTGCAAATCCTAGGCCAAGGAAACTCCTCACCTAAGAACCATCTGTCAATTGCAGAAAAGTGGACCCCACCGCTACAGATCTTACTCAGTGGGTGTGGCCATGAACTTGTGCTTTAATAAATATGTCAGGTGATATCGGTATCAGGAATTCATTTTGAGAAGCGCCTCAACTTGTTAAGAAAATCTCATTGTAATGGATGAGTCAAAGCAGCACATTTGGGTCTGTTTTGTGAATAATGGGATAAAGGATCTAAAACATCCTATGTTCCAAGAGACAAGGGAGGTCAGCAGGATCTGCCAGGGTTTGTACTGCTGGTTGTTTTAAACCCTAGCAAGAATTCAATTTGACTAGTCCTGCCTAAACTAGGACCCTGTATGAGGTCACCCAGAGGGGAAAAATTGGGCAAAACCCTCTGGGTGGCTGGAGCAGCTAAGTTGGAAACAGTGGCGGTGGTCGTAAGCGAAGCATGGCCACAGTGGTTCCTAGGGTTTGGGACAGGAAGAACAGTGAGTCACACCATGACGTGACTGACACTGGACCAGAATGGGGGAGGGGCCTCCGAGGCCATGGGCACCTCCTGGCTGTGATACTGTGCCCCCTCCAGCACTGGTTCTCCTCACACAGGTGTTCCCTAAGCCTGCAGCTACCTGCACAGGGTCTCTTCTCTTTTGTAGAATTTGAATCAACACCATTTTGTAGCTGACCTACTTCCCAGACTCTTCTTCTTAGTTTCTCTCATCTGTGGCCTGACATGGTAGCAATTTCGTGTGTCACTAAGATTACAGATTAAAAATGGGACTGGCTAGTGTTTGGGTAATAGACAACTTAGGTATAGATCAATTCAGACAGCATGTGTAAGTGTCAAGGAAAGTTGTATTAGAAAAGGGGGGCATTTAGCCCAGCCGGTGTGGCTCAGTGTATCAAGTGCTGTCCCATGGACTGAGAGGTCCTGGTTCCATTCCCGGTCAGGGCACATGCCCAGGTTTCTAGCTCCATCCCCAGCAGTGGGTGTGCAGGAGTCAACCTTTCAATGTTTCTCTCACATTGGTTTCTATCTCTCGCTCCCTTCCTCTCTCTCTCTAAAAAAATTCAATAAAATCATATTTTAAAAGAAAAGAGAGGAATTTGTAGTTTTTTGGAAAATAGACTCTGGAATATCTCTAATTTTTAAGTTTATGCTAAAAAAAAGTAATTAAAACATGCCCTTGCTAACTGTTGAATTTCACAGACGAGAGAGACTGAACTTGGCTTCCATCTGGTGACCTGAGACCCTGCCCTCTCGGACCCTGTAATATTCTAGTTGCACCGGAGTATTTTTAGACTGTGGTCCGGGACCAGACTAATACACTTACCTCTAGGTGTGATGCTAATTGGAAACTCGCGGCTCTCTGGGCTTCTCCAGGTGGCAGCTCCAGACACACCTTGCCTCACCTACTTTCTGTTTCCTTCATGTGTCTCTTTCCTTTCCCAAAGGCCAGGAGTGACCGTGGAGTGTTTGGCAAGGATACCAACTAAGGCAGGGAACAGGTCCATCTCTGCCATGTTATAGGTCTAGTCCTTGAGGAAACTCTGTTGGATTCCCTTGCAGCGAGTTACCTGGGGAAGTGGGGCCACTTCCTCTGGAGTAAATGCAATTTACCTCTTTGACCAAAAACTTAAGAGTGAACATACCTGCCCTGGCCGGTTTGGCTCAGTGGTTACAGCGTTGGCCTGCGCTCTAGAGAGACCCGGGTTCAGTTCCCGCTAAGGGCATGTACCTTGGTTGCAGTTTGTCCCTGGCCCTGGTTGGGTCGTGCGGGGTGGCAGCCACTCGATGTGTCCCTTTCATATCGATGTTTCTCTCTCTCTCTCTCTCTCCCCCTCCCTCCCTCCCTCCCACTCTATCTGAACAAAAAATGGAAAAATGTCCTCGAGTGAGGATAAAAAAAAAGAGCGAACTCCCAGGTAGCCCTTTGCACGTGTGCGTAAGGTCAAACCTCTGTGCCCAGGAGCTCCGCCTGCCCAGCTGGGTGAGGTGGTCACAAACGCAACCCATGGGAACTAGGAGCCGGGTCTGGGCTGCAAGCAACCCTGCTCTGCTCTGCTGGGCCGCACATTCTTCATCAAACAGAATTGGGAAATAAAGTGCTTTATTGCTGAGGATCCCAGAGAGCTTCGCGACAGCTGTCTAGGGGCAAGGAGTGAAATCCCCTACCTTGCAGAAGGCGTGGCAGTATGGTTTGGGGGTGAGGGGAGGTAGGAAGAGGCACGCGGTGTGCTGGGAGAGCAGACGGTGCATCTCCTCCATTCTGAGCTTCAGTGACATCACCATGCGAGCCCAGAATGGGCCATGATGGGGGTATTTACAGAACAGAAATTGCCCAAATGCTACAATCAGGGATCCCCCCCCCCGGGAGAACTGGTTTACCAGCACTCAAAGCACCTCCTGAGCTCATTCTCAGTCCCCCCCAAGCCTGGTTGCTGTGACAAGCTGCACCCCCAACTCTGGGCAGTGCCGTCTCCCAGCCCTGCACATTCCTACAACCTGGACAGAACAGAGGTGCGCTGGACAAAGAAAGGGACCTGACCTAGGTGATCCTTTCCCTGCCTGGAGCCTGCCTTGGCCCGGCTGCCTCGGCCTGTCTGTCCACTGATAGAGCCCTCAGCCCTAAACTGAAGTGATGTCCACCGAAAGGCAGCTCGGAGCTGTGGATAAAACCCTTTTGCTCAGTGGCTCCCAGCAGGCAGTGGGGCAAGAGAGCCATGTGCAGCCACTCAGAGGTAACGAAGGGCTGAGGGCTGCTCATCAGCTGACGAAGGGCCGCTGTGCGGTGTGAGATGCAAGGACTGGCCCCCAGGGCGGGGGTTGGAGTGATTCACTGCAGGTCCTGGGAATGAGGCGCATGGGCAGCCTGAGAGCCTGGCTCGCTCCTGTGTGCAGACCCAGCGCAGGGGAGCCCGGCTCCGAGGTGGGGAGGAAAAGGAGCGGCCAGGCTGGGACAGGGCCCCACAGACACAGATTTCCACTGCACCCCCAGGGACCTCACCCTGAGCCCTGTACACCCTTCAACATTCTTGCCAACCCCACCCAACACGTGGGTGCTGACCTGCCTGGGGTTCGCGGGCAGAGGGCATGGGCACCAGAGAGGCCTCCCAGGCTGAGTCCTTGCATTTACTCAGCCTGGGCAGGGGCAGGGTGAGGGGCCTGCCAGCAAGTTCTCCAGCACAGCAGCCCTCCCGTTAGTACTCCCTGGCCTCCTGCAGCTGGGCCAGGTACTCCTTCTCAGAAGGGTTGTCCGCGCAGGCTTGGCCATTGTTGGGGGGTCGCACAGAGTGGTAGCGGCTCCAGTCCCCCTTACACAAGATCCAGGGCAGCGTGTCCAACTTGAAGTGCAGCTCAGGTGAGAACTGTGTGCTGATGAGGTCAGGTGTGCCGGCGCCCTTGCCTCGGGTCAGCAGCCGGTGCCCTGAGTCGTAGCAGCAGTGCTGGGCAGCCAGCGTGCTGCTGTTCGGGGACAGCAGGGAGCGCAGGCAGAAGCGCGCCGTGGGCTGGTAGATGTCCAGGCGCTCCCTAGGGCCGCTGGCATCCCTCCACTGGAAGCTGCGGCCCTTCTGTTTGTCCTGCAAGCTCACGTCCTTGTGCGTAGCGTCCAGCGGGTATGTGCACGGGCAGCTGGGCAGGTCCTGCAGCATCTGGCTCAGATACTTGGCTAGAAAGTCGCTCTTGCAGTTCAGCCACTTCTCACAGTGGTCCACGTCTGCAGAGGGCAGGCAAGCGGGGCGGGAGGGCTCAGCCCGTGCTGCGGTGTGGTGGGGGCGATCAAGGGCCAGTGGAGAGGAGGCCAGAGCCCCAGCTGGTGCAAATATGTGGCCTGGTAAAGCCTTAGGGGCAGAAGCAGAAGGGCCTACACCAGAGCTGGGGGCCATCTGACCTGGCCTCCACTGCTGACAGACAGGGGCTCCCACACACACTCAGGCAATCTGAAGCAAGAGGCCATGGTTTAAAATAGATGCTGGCCGGGGGGCTGGAGGAGGGGCCTACATGCCCTCTGCTCCACTAAGGTGTTGCTCCTTTAAATGCTAGGTGGCCGGGCCGGTGTGGCTCAGTGGATTGAGCATCGTCCCATGGACTGAGAGGTCCTGGTTTGATTCCCGGTCAGGGCACATGCTCAGGTTGCAGGCTCGATCATTCCCCAGTGGGAGGCGTGCAGGAGGAGGCCGATCAATGTTTCTCTCTCACATCGATGTTTCTGTTTCTCTCTCTCCCTTCCTCTCTCTCTAAATAAAAAAATATTTAAATACTGGGTGGCAGGGAAGATCCTGGGAAGGAGCTGGGTGGTTAGGGCAGGGAGCGCCGTTTAAACCAATTGGTAAGAAAATGTTTCCATACAGGTTGGGGCAAAAGTAGGTTTCAGTTGTGAGTATTCAAAATACAGAATTAATTCTTGTACTATTATTTATTAATTATTGTATTATTTTCCATAGAACAACCGGAAACCTACTTTTGCCCTACCCTGTATTTTACCCACTGGCCCATTTTTGTTTTGTTTTTTTATCCTCATCCGAGGACATTTTTCCATTTTTTTGTTCAGATAGAGTGGGAGGGAGTTGCCACCCACACAACCCAACCAGGGCCGGGGACAAACAGCAACCAAGGTACATGCCCTTGGTGGGAACCGAACCCAGGTCTCTCTGGACCACAGTTCAATGCTCTAACCACTGAGAAAAACCGGCCAGGGCCCATTCTTGTTTTGTTTTTGTTTTTTAATTTTTTTTTTTCTCCTCACCCGAGGACATTTTCCCATTTTTTATTCAGATAGAGTGGGAGGGAGAGAGAGGAAGAGAGAGAGAGAAACATCGGTGTGAAAGGGACACACCGAGTGGCCGCCACCCACATGACCCAACCAGGGCCGGGGACAAACTGCAACCAAGGTACGTGCCCTTAGCGGGAACCGAACCCGGGTCTCTCTGGACCGCAGGTCAATGCTCTGACCGCTGAGCCAAACCGGCCTGGGTCCATTCTTGTTTTCAACTCTGCCTCTCTCAGGCCGTCTAACCTTGGGTGAGTCACTCTACCACTCTGGGCCCCCGGGACCCCCTCTGTCTATGCTGACCTTCCCCCATCTCTCTGCCTTGGGAAAGTGGCTTCTGACACCTGACACACCTGACACCTGACACAATGAGCTTGTGGTACTGAGCGGGGCCTCATCTGCAGGGGGCTGTTGACCGCCTCCTGGCGCCTCGCAAGGAGCAGGTGAGACTGAGCGACACTGACGCTGCGGACGCTGGTGAAAGCAGGGCCCGCTCCGAGCGGCTGGAAGGAGCTGTCCCAGAGTTCTGGACCCTGACCCATTTCCATGGCTCCCGCTTCCCAGACAAAGCCTGCCCAGGAGTCTCCGAGGGTGACCCAGGAGTAGACGCCGGAATACCCCCTTCCCATCCTGCTGCCAGGGAGACTCTGCCCTTGGGATGACCTCTAGCTCTGTGGCTCCCATCAGGACCTTCCCACAGGAATGTCAGGCTGGGAGGGGCCAATGGGCCTGTCTGGGGGGTTCAGAAATGCTAGGGACCCTTGATGTTGAGGCTAACTTTCCAACTGGAAGATGTGTTCTCTGTCTCAATTCATGGAAGTGAGGTTCCTGCCCGTGAAATGATGTTCCACCCTCCCAGGAGAGGTTCCCCCACACCCCAGGGGCAGGGCCTGCCCCGCACTGACCTGAGCCGAGCATGTCCGAGGCATTGTAGGCCAGGGGCTGCCACTCCTCACTGGGTAAGCCCAAGGGGTCCTCGTGCTCAGCACCTTTGGGAAGAGAGGAGGCTGGGCTGGAGGAGCCCCAAGGCATCTCTATGCCCCCGATGGGGAAGCCCAGCCCTCACTGGGCTCTCGGTGCCCATAGCATCTGGGACAGGCCTGGGACGAGGTGGGACCACCATGTTTGTGAGCTTCCTGCATCCCCTCTCCCATGTCCACCCCTGGTACAAGGCTCACGTGCCCAGGACCAAGCCCAGCGTGGAAGCCACGCCCTCTGCAGGAGCTGTGGTTAGTCTCACCAGGACAGGGGGGCAGGCTGCAGTCCCGGGACTGGGTGGCAGTGCAGGAGTAGCCGCAGGGTCGAGTCCTCTGCTGGCTGCCGCCGCCGCAGCTCACAGCGCAAGGAGACCAGGGACTCCACTCCTCTTGAAGCTCATTATCTGGGTCAGGGCAGGGAGCCAGCGGTGAGTGAGCACAGCCCACAGGGACACTGGAGAAAATGAGCAAGTGCAGGAGGTAGCCCTGCAGACAGCACAACCCCCGACTCACACTCCACACCAACACGGCCATGTCAAGGAAGACACCCGGGCTAGAGGCCACTGGCCACTGCAGGTCTGACCTTGAGCAAGTCCCTCTCCATCTCTGAGATATAGTTTTTATGTCGATCAAAACCCAGGATGACAATACTTTCCCGTCACTGGGGGTATTAAAGAATGTCCCTGCTGCCCATGTTAGGGAGCCGGTCCTGGACAGAGACCTGAAATACCCTCAACTGCACCCACGGCCCTCTGGCTGTGCAGGGCCTGGGACCCAAGGCTCCCTGTGGACCCCCCCCCAAAGTAATGACACAGCCGTACTCTCCTCACTTCCCAGTAGGCCCAAGAGTTTAAGGGTAATAAATGAAAGAAAAGCTGCAAGTCATGAAAATTCTGCCTGTTAGTTTATATTATTTTGGCGAAATCGGGAAAAGGCTGCTATAATGCCCATCGGCGCCTCCAGCCAGCGATGAAACGAGGCTCTGGGGGGACGGCTGCGAACACCCCGGCCCGGGCCTCCGGGGCTGCTGTGCACAAGGAGATCGGCTGTCACGGGGGCGGCAGGCGCAGGTGAGGTTTTCTAACCAGAAATGTCGTTTTCTAATAAAAATAGCCAATGCTGTGTTTACTACATGCTGGCCCTTTATTTATTTTTGTTAATCCTCACCTGAGGGTATTTTCCATTGACTTTTAGATAGAGTAGAAGGGAGGGAGGGAGAGAGAAAGAGAGGGAAACATCGATGTGAGAGAGACACATCAATGGGTTGCCTCCTGCACGACTCCAGCCAGGGCCGGGGATTGACCCTGCAACCCAGGTACGTGCCCTTGACCAGGAATCGAACCCTCAACTCTTCGGTCCATGGACTGACTCTAACCTCTGAGCCACACCGGCCAGGGCCATGCCGGCACTCTAAGTGTATTAACGGACGTCCTGCGCTCTACACCCAATCCTAGGGAGTAAGGGTGTGCCGCTCTCCATTTTATAGAGGAAGGAACTGAGGCACGGGGAGGGTAAGCAATTTGCCAATGTCACTCAGCTGGTAGTGGCGGAGTCAGGATTCAAACCCACAGAGTCTGGAAATGAGGTCAGTTGTGAGTAGTGGGATTTATAATATTTCCCAGTTTGTTGGAAACTGATAGAGATGAATATATGTAATATTAATAAATGCCTGTTTTGCTTAGGGGATCTCAGGGCTGTTGTGAGGGTCAAATGTTTGGGGCAAAAATCTTGGCCAAGCTCTGGGTGAGGTTACTATTTAGCTGACGATGGTGTTTGTACAGCCGAAGCTCCTGATGCCCCCGCTGCCCTGCCCAGGAAGCTCTCAGCCCTCTCTACCCACTGCCACTCTGCACCTCAGGGGGCAGCAGCCGGGGCTGCCAAGATAGGGGTGCTCACCATAGATTTCCTTGAAGGCCCAGTCCCTGGGGGCCAGCCAGTCCTGCTCCCAGGTGCCGAGGACTCCACTGAACTCCCTGTCGCCCTCTTCCTCATCACTGCCCTCCGGCTCCTGGCTCTTACTGTACTCGGAAAGGTAGTCCTCCTTCTCCTTCTCCTCCTCTCCTTTGGGGACTCTGCCCTTGAGACTGGATCCCGCCTCCTCATCCTCCAGGTAGCCCCAGAAGAGGGGCCAGGAGACGTCCTTGGCGGGCAGCCAGCTGGGGACACCCGGGGGCCAGAGATTGCTTGACTCGGCCAGCAGGTCCATCTCCACCTCAGCCTGGGGGTCCTTCACCACCTCGATGACCACCTGCAGGGAGACAGACTCCAGGCGGGTCAGTGAGGGAGGGCGCAGAGCTGGACACCAGGACGGGGAAGATGACAAGGGCGGGGGGAAGAGGCCCAACCTTCTTGGCCTCCCAGGGCACATGGGGCCACAGCTTAAGACCTGGCTACGCATCGGAAGCCCCTAGAGCAGCGGTTCTCAACCTGTGGGTAGCGACCCCTTTGGGGTCGAACGACCCTTTCATAGGGGTCATCTAAGACATAACAGTAGCAAAATTACAGTTATGAAGTAGCAACGAAAATGATGTTATGGTTGGGGGTCACCACCACATAAGGAACTGTTTTAAAGGGTCGTGGCTTTAGGAAGGTTGAGAACCCCTGCCCTAGAGGTTCCGGACTCCCCAGCTGGACCTCAGACATGGGTCTAACTGTCCTCAGGTGGGCCGGGCACAGTGGCTCTAACATGCGCCAGGGCAGAGACCCACTAGTGTAAGAGAAGCTGGCTTTGAGTTCTGGCCTCACCAGCCTGCAGGCGGCACGGCATCAGGGGCCACTGACCGCCCTGAGCCTGTCCTCTCTGTGAAGAGGACCCAGCCAGCGAGTCCTCGCCGCAGCCCCGGGGGCAAGGACGGGCTCGCTTTCACACGCTGCGGAGGGGAGATCAGTAATATGAAATCATGTCTGTAAAAGCACATTTCTAAAACATCATTTGGGGTTATTATAAATTAATCTGAGGTCACTGAACACAAATCTGGGGGGAAAAGCAGCGAACTATAAAGAAGCAAGTGAACGTGGCCCACATTGCATCACTGACGGATAACAGTTTGGTGATTAACTGTCCAGGTTTTACACAGACACATGCACACACATACAGACACACACATGTGCTTTTAAACAATGTCATAGTTATGGTCTACACTCTTCCCTTTTGGCGGAAGTGTTCTGGAACTGTAGATACAATACAGACATGCTGACTCCTGCCACTAGGGAATCGGACTGACAGTGGAGAGTGTCGCCTGGAATTGCACTGCCCCCCATGGCAGACCCCCGCCCACTGCTCTCAACCCCACAGTGCTCAACCCTTCCTCCAGGGGACTGCGGTGAGTCTGTGTGGGGTCAAATCTTCAGGTGTTCCCACAAGGTTCTTCGGAGATTTCCAGAACCCCCGGCAGCACGAGAAGCAGTCTCCACTCCTCTGGTCCTCAGGACAGCCCTGCCAGGTTGGTGCTGTCTGTCCCTTGCTATGGACCAGGAGCTGCATGAACTGCTCACCGTCTGCAGCTTAAAAGCGGAGAAGCACGTCCCCACCCCCCACCCCACAACTCCACAGGGACCACACGGCAGTCGACTTTTCCAATCCCACCCAGGACCTGCTCCCTCCAAGGAATACAGGACAGGATGCCTGACCTCGGAGCTGAGCCGCTGAGCCCAGCTCCTCTCCAGGTGTCCCCTGGGCCCGTGGCCATTCTGTAGCTCTCACCTGGATATTAGGGTTCGGGGTACTCAAGTCTGTGTTGGCCAATCCTGGCAGCTTCTGCAGCTCCAGCAACAAGGGAGTGTCCTCCTGCATCCCAGGAGGGGCTGCCTCTTCCGGGGTCGGAGCTGCTGGCTCAGTGAGAGCCCAGAGCCTGTGTCGGTGTGGCCCTGCCTGGAGACGGGTTCCTGGGAGCAGGGGGGTTTCCTCCTCCTCCCTAGGAGAGCTGGGATCTGGGGAGGCCGAGACCTAAGGGAGAGAAAGGGAGGGAGTGGTGACTGAGGTCAGGGCTCACCCCACGTTGACCCAAAAATGATTGGTGGGGGGCATTCAGGAGCCCCGGGTCTGACCAGACCACAAGCTGGCCTGTGACTAATATCCAAACACAAGTGCCTTAAGGCGTCAGAGGGGAAGTGAGGCTGTTTCCACAGAGCACTGAGACAGACACGGCCAACATGAGGCGTGAAGAAACAGAGTCCAACCCCCTCACTTTACAGAGGAAGCAACTGAGGCCCAGAGAGGGAAGCCAGTTGTTTGAGGCAGTGGTTCCAAAGCGCAGGCCGCAGGCCACCTGCCTCGGAATCCCACAGGCTGTTGTCAGAGAAGGCAGCCCGGGGAGTACAGCAGGCCTGGGCCCACCTCGGCGCTCCCCCACCTGGCCCTCCCAGCTGTCCCCGTGAAGGTGCGTCCCCTAGCCTCTACCTCTCTGCCTGCTACCCGGAGCCCGGCTCCTTGTCCTGGTCCAGCTTGCTTGTATGGCTGGCTGGCTGTGGCTACCTCCCTCCACCGACCAGTGCCCATGGGGTCCACACCGGGACCATCCCTGCTTGAGCACAGATGGTAACTGAAAGGCAGATCCCGCATGTCGCTGACTCCCGCTCCAGGGTTCACCTGCTCAGACAGTGGGGCACTGGAGACTCAGCATCCATCCACCTCCTCCCCGCTGCAGCCATTGCCAGGCCTTCATGCCAGAGCAGACAGCTCCATTGAGAGGTACCGCTGTGAGGCCCTGGCCGGTTTGGCTCAGTGGTTGGAGCGTCGGCCTGCGGACCCGAGTCCCGGGTTCGGTTCCTGCTAGGGGCACGTGCCAAAAAAAAAATATGTATATATAGAGAGGTACTGCTATGAGCCTCAGGGGCCATGAGCCTATGAACCCGCCCCACCCAGGCCACAGCCTCGAGCCTGCCTCCCATCTCTTACCTGGGGCAGCGTGGTACAGCTGAATAAACAGGGTTCTGGAGGGGCAGATCAGCTTGGGTTTAAATCCCAGCTCTGCCTCTCACTAGCTCATTCAACTTGATCTGTAAAATTAGGATGATAGCCCTGGCCGGCTTGGCTCAGCGGTTAGAGCGTTGGCCTGTGGTCCAGAGAGACCCGGGTTCGGTTCCCGCTAAGGACATGTACTTCGGTTGCAGTTTGTCCCCGGCCCTGGTTGCGTCGTGTGAATGGCGGCCACTTGATGTGTCCCTTTCACATCGATGTTTCTCTCTCTCTCTTCCTCTCTCTCCCTCCCACTCTATCGAATAAAAAATGGAAAAATGTCCATGGGTGAGGATAAAAAAAAAAAAATTAGGATGATAATTCCTACCTGGAGTCTCTTGGAGTCAGAATTTTACCTATCAAACACTTCCATAGCATCTACTGTGTGCCAAGCATCATTCCAAACACTCGATCATTCATTTCACCCTTCCAACAACCCTCAGGGGTGGGTGCTCCTGTCATCCCCATGTTGACATTGGAAACTAGAGCACAGAGAGGGCAAGTAACTTGCCTGAGTTCACACAGACATTTAGTGGTAGAGTCAGAGTTTGAACCATTAAGCTCTAACACTACTGAGAGTCCCCTTCACAAGTCTGAGGCTTAATCAGTCTAGTCTCTCCCTCTCACTGACTCTTTTCTTGGGTTGAAAAAGTCTCTCATTTGACTTCCCTCCTGGGGTGGCAGATGCCTCGCGCCAAGGCTACTGCCGCGATCACTTGGTCCAGGGCCGTCGGGGCCCCACCTCCGCCTGCCCCGAGTCTCGCTGAGTCAGGGTGCTCTGGTCTAGACAGCCAGGGTGGATGAGCAGAGGATGGACAGATGAGTAATGGAACCATCAATCTCCTCGCTGACCAATCTTGAAGGCCTGAGAAATCCCCACAGCGGCCTTGGCAGCTCCGCCCACAACTGCACTGAAGCCCTAACAGTCCCTCTTGCTCAGCGGCTCCTGCCTGCAGCCTCTGGGCACTGTGGCAGCAGGAGCTCAGCGTCATGCAGCCCTCTGGCTGATCGGGATCCCCTTGCCTCCTGGGCAGATGGTGAAGCAGTGGTTCTCCTCCGGGGACATCTGGCAATGTCTGGAGACATCTGTGGTTGTCACAACTGAAGAGGGGTGCTACTGGCAACTAGGGGGTAGAGGCCAAAGATCCTCCAATGCATTGGATCCTACACCAGCCCCGAATGTCAGTAGCGATGTAGCTGAGTAGCCCTGCTCCAGAGTCAGGCTGCCAGGGTCTGAATCCCGGTGGTGGCTGGCATCTGACCTGTGGGTCCTGGCAGGGGACATAACCTCTGTGAGTGCCCTTATCTATAAAATGGGAACAGTGATGAGAAAGCTGGAGTCCTGCAGGTGGATTCCAGCTCTCCCTGGTGCCCAGTGGACCACAGAATGCCCTAGCCACACATGCCGCCCCTCTTGGGGAGCCTCCAGCTCTGTGCACCGGCCCCCGGGGGCTCTGGGGAGTGGACTGGGAGGGGTGGGGGGACGACATCCAGTCTTAGTTTACGTTCCTTCAGAAGCCAACCCAGACACAAGGATCAAGGGCAAGTGGCTCCTTTGGAAGGTGATCTGGTCCCAGGAGACACCAAGGCGGGTGGGGGTGGGTGGAGGAGAGAGCAAGTCAGGGAAGGGAGGCAGCTACTAAAGAATGCTCAGGCCAGTGGCCACAGTGGGAGCTGGAGCTCAATCCTACTGGTCACCTCAGTTATCACCCAGAGGAGGGGGAGCTGGGCTACCTACCTACCAACTCTGCCAGTCCGTTAGGACTGCTGGGTCGGGGAGAGGGTTTGCTCTCCTGGAAGGTACATGGGCTTACTCAGAGCATCCCTAGTGCCAGTGAACACTCTCAGGGCACCTGGGCAGAGCCCCAGAGCCACGACCGATGACCATTGTCTAAGCGTATCTTCCATACCAGGCCAGGCCCTTTCTGTGCCTTCTGTCGCCCTCCCCGACTAGAGTGCAGGCTCCGTGCAGGCAGGGATTTCTGTCCGCTTTGTTCACGCTGGGTCCTCTGCCAGCACAATGCCTGGCACATTATAGGAGCTCAATAAATCACAGCTGAGTGGTTAAAGGAGTGCCAGCATCCTGAGGGATGAGGGTGACGATGGTAACAATGAGGCGACGGGGGCCCAGAGAGCGGAGGGATTTATATAAGGTCTCCAAGGTCACAACATCTATGTGGCTCAGCTGCTTGGGCATCATCCGGTGCACTGAGAGGTCATGGGTTCAATTCCTGGTCAGGGCACATGCCCAGGTTGTGGGCTCGATCCCCAGCGGGGGGCATGCAGGAGGCAGCCGATTGATGTTTGTCTCTCATCAATGTTTCTCTCTCTCTCTCTTTCCCTCTCCTTCCAAAATCAATAAAAACATACATATAGCCCTGGCCAGTTTTGCTCAGTGGTTAGAGCATCAGCCTGCGGTCCAGAGCGACCTGGGTTCGGTTCCCGCTAGGGGCATGTACTTTGGTTGCAGTTTGTCCCCGGCCCTGGTTGGTCGTGTGGGTGGCAGCCACTCGATGTGTCCCTTTCGCGTCGATGTCTCTCTCTCTCTCTCTTCCTCTCTGTCCCTCCCACTCTATCTGAACAAAAAAATGGAAAAAAAGTCCTCGGGTGAAGATAAAAAATATATATATATAAAAGGAAGGAAGGAAGGAAGGAAGGAAGGAAGGAAGGCCGGCCTGCCTGCCTTGGCTGGTTTGGCTTAGCCGTTAGCGCATCAGCCAGCAGACCAAAGAGTTATAGATTCGATATTCTGGTCGAGGGCATGTACCTCGGGTGCAGTTCGATGCCCGGCCCTGTTCGGGGTCACACGGGAGGTGACTAGTCAGTATGTCTCTCTCACGTCAATGTTTCTTTCTTTTCTCTCTCTCCCTCCCTCCCTCACTCTCGCTCTATCTGAAAATCAATGGAGAAACATCCTCGTGTGAGGATTTAAAATAAAAAAAGGAGAAAGAAAAAAAGGTCCACTATCAGAGCTCGGGTTCACACTCAGCTCTGCCTGATCTGAACTACATGCATCGGCGCACACACGTGTGCAAGGATGGACACTCGTGCCGATACCCGTCATGTGCTACCACCTCTGCATGTACAGAGCACACCCACTACCATCCTCTTGTCTGGCAGCTGAACTTGGGTAACCAGCTGTGTGACCTTGGGCAGCTTACTTACCCTGCCTGGGTTTCTCCTGTGTAAATCGGGAACGGAAGTACCTGTCTCGTAGGGTGTTGAGTTACAGCGATGGCTTGTATGTGGCAAGCCACAGTGAATGTGACTTAGAGGTGATGACAGATGGTTCTCAGAGGGGAGACAGGGGAAGGCACCCCTCTCAACAGGCGCTGTGCTGGTTCTTTGCATCTTACTTGGTCTGAAAACCCCTCACTGGCCATCGCTGATGCAGTATCTCTGGGCAGGTATATCCGATGACGTTCTGAATGAACTCTGAGGCTCTGGCCTGCCTGTGTAAGAAACCTGTCACACACATTTTTGCTTCCTCCCCGCTTATTTTTGTTTTTATCCTCACCCGAGGACACTCTTTGCATTCATCTTCAGATAGAGCAGGCGAGAGAGAGGGAGGAAGAGAGAGAAAGAAACATCGATGCGAGAGAGACATATCGACTGGCTGCCACCCACATGACCCCAACTGGGGCCCAGGACAAACTGCAACCGAGGTACGTGCCCCTAGCAGTCACCAAACCCGGGTCTCTCTGGTCCGTGGGCCGACGTTCCAACCACTGAGTAAAACTGGCCAGGGCCCCCCTTACTTTTAAAAAAATATTTGCTGCCATATTTTGTTATTGTTGTTAATCCTCACCCGAGAATATTTTCCCATTGATTTTTAGAGAGAGTGGAAGGGAGGGGGGAGGAGGAAAGAGAGAGAGAAACATTGATGTGAGAGAGACACATCAATTGGTTGCCTCCCACACGACTCCCACAGGGACCAGGGATCAAACCTGTAACCCAGGTATGTGTCCCTAACCGGGGTGTGTGGGCCGACACTCTAACCACTGAACAACAGTGGCCAGGGCCGCTACCATATTTTTATTACTGCTGTATGTTCCCCCTTTTTTTGTAAAAAGCAAAAATCCTTTTGGGCTGTTCTTTTTGGTGAGCAGGACCAGGTACCAGTGTGAGTCTTCGGTAAAAGGAAGTGGCGTGATGTGAACAGCTGGGCGTGCCTGTCCGGAGCCAGCTCTCCACCACCTTCTCTGTCTCTCTGTGTCTGTCTCTGTCACACGCAGGCCTACACGTACCTCCCAGGCTTGGCCAGCAGCCCTGACCCATGTGTTTCCAGTTAACACAAGAGCCCTCTTACCCACAAACCCTTCCTCACTGCCCAGGCCGGCTAACCTGTTTCAGCCCCTCACGGTTCCCCACTCTCCCTTCTCCTGTCTGCCTCGGGCCAGGAACTTGTTCCAGATAATGAAATCCAGTTGCCAGGTGCAGGCCAGCACCTCCCCTCCCCGCAGCCCCAGCTGCTGAGGTCCGGGCCCATCCCCAGAGCCAGGCTGTACACAGTCTCTGTGGTCTTCCAGGTGGTGCTGGAGACCCAGCATTCAACAGCAGGCCAGGCCAGAGGACCACGGGCAGAGGGAGGGGGCTGGACTTCACCCTCCTCGCTGCTGTGTACCAGCCTTACCCAGCCCACCTGGCAGCCAGTGCAGACCTCAAAGCTCCTCCTTGTAATAAGAGTACTCCTGACAGAGACACCCTCCAAGCACCAGGGCTAGCTCATGCTGTGTGACCTGTGTACCTGCCCAGGGCCCTGCGCCTAGTTTAATGCTCTGCTGTTGCCATCTTGAAATGCTGGGAGGTCCCAAATTCTCATTCTGCACCGGGCCCCACAAACTACACAGCGGGTCGTGCTGAGCACCCATGTGTACCGGCTCCAGTCCCGCTCTGGGCAGGCACTAGCCTCACCCCATTCCCACTTCAGAGATGAGGCAGTCAAGGATCGGAGAAGTGAAGTAGCTTGCTTGGGGGTCACAAAGGCAGCCTGCAGAACAGGATTGGAGGCAGGTGGTCTGGCTGGACTCTGTGTTCTTAACTCTTGTGCTTTGCCAACTCCAGACAGGGCTGCACCTTCTGGTTCACTGCCTGCCACTCTAGGGCGCTGAGTGTATTGAATGAACAAAACACTAGAATAGGCTGTTCTGCTGTTCACATCCATCCTCCCTTTGATCCTCATAACATCCAGTGAGGGGCCAAGGGGAGGAACGAGGTTGGGAGACTGAGATCCAGTGAGGCTGAGGACTTGCCTGGGACCACGAGCAGACAAGGTCCAGGCACTTGCTCCTTCCTGTCCTTCCCGCTCTCCCTCAACCAGCTTTCCAGTGGTTCTGAACTCGAAGAGCAAGAAGAATGGTCTGAGGGAGAACGATGGTCACAGTCAAGGTCTGCAGAGGTGCCCAGCTGCAGGCGAGGCGAAGAGGCCAGGCACAGGCTCGGCATCACGCGGACCTGGGTTGCAGTTCCCCTTCTGACACTCACTGGTTGGGACAGTCCTTGCAGCTTGGAAGAGCTGTCCTCTCAGCTCTTTTGCTTTTATTCTAATCTCCACCACACTCTATCATACACTGACAGCATGGCCCCAGGTCCCCAACACCCTTCCCCCCGACCCCAAGGTTTTCCCCTGCCAACCTAGGAGGTGGTAGGTGCCAGGAATAGGCTCTAGAATTAAGCAAAACTGGGTGCGAATCCTGGTTCACCACTTACTAGCTGTGTAACTGTGGGTCGGCTACTGGATCCCATCAGTTTCCTCGTCCCTAAAATGAGGGTAACAAGACAATAAACACAAAACGCTAGGCTGTTTGGGCAGTGCTCTGATCTTAACTAGGACAGAAGACACTCAACACGCAGAGCTGGGTCATTCTTTGCCTGTCCGGCACCCTTGCCACGATGGTGCCACCCACGTGTGTGCACTGTGCTTTCACACTCAGCACGGCCTCCGACAGAATGGGTGCTCTCATTTCCATCTGACTGTGGGAGTAAGCTGCGGCTCCGAAACAGGCCTGCCCAGAGAGGGGATGGCATGTTCTGTTCATGACGCTAATGGTTTCAAGAGTTTTCAAGGGTTTGGATGAGCGGGCTGAGGCATGACATGCAAAGACAGACCATGAGGTCCCTAGTGTCGCTCTTAAAAACACAGACCTGGCTTCCAGTCCCAGCTAGGTTTAACATCTATGCACCTTGATGTTCTCATCTGGAAAATGGGAATAATGCCCAAGTCAGAATGGTGTAACAATTAAATAACATGACGTGAAGTCTTTGTACTGACTCTGCAAGGCCCAGAAAATGCTCACTCCCCCTCAGTCATCCTACACCTTTAGATCTGGTGGGTTTACGTTCTTCAGTTTCTTCATAAGGGTCTTTGGGTTGGCCAGTTATTTTTCTTATTATTTTTTTTTAATTTTTTTTTATCCTCACCCGAGGACATTTTTCCATTTTTTACTCAGATAGAGCGGGAAGGAGAGAGAGGAAGAGAGAGAAACATCGATGTGAAAGGGACACATCGAGTGGCTGCCACCCACACGACCCAACCAGGGCCGGGGACAAACTGCAGCCAAGGTACATGCCCTTAGCGGGAACCGAACCCGGGTCTCTGTGGGCCGCAGGCTGACGCTCTAACCGCTGAGCCAAACCGGCCAGGGCATATTTTTGACATATAACCCAAGGCCCTTAGAAAAGCAGTCTGGCCCTGGCTGGTTTGGCTCAGCGGTTAGAGCGTCGGCCTGCGGTCCTGAGAGACCCGGGTTCGGTTCCCGCTAAGGGCATGTACCTCGGTTGCAGTTTGTCCCCGGCCCTGGTCAGTTGTGCGGGTGGCAGCCACTCGATGTGTTCCTTTCACATCGATGTTTCTCTCTCTCTCTGTTCCTCTCTCTCCCTCCCACTCTACCTGAACAAAAAACGGAAAAATGTCCTCGGGTGAGGATAAAAAAAAAAAAAAAATGAGAAAAGCAGTCTGCATTCTCTCAACAATTCCTTAAGTAACACCTTTGATGTGTAGCCACTTTAACACACATCACACAGACTTGTGGAACAATGTTTGAGCTGGACAGGACCATGGAGATGATTTAGCCCCAAATTTTAAATGTCAGGAAATCATCCAAGGTGAGTCACACACAAGTTAATGACCCCCTGGGACCAGGCCCTGGGCTCCAAGCTGTTTATTCTCCATGGCACTAATTTGGTTTAACATGTCGTTGAGGGCTCTGCCAGGCCCTACTGGGGCTGGGGATATGACGTTGGCTCTGAAATAATTCATCCTCTAGGCTGATCTTGGAGGAAGATTTGGCAAACCTACCGATAATAATTACAATACAAAGTGGTAAGTACTGAAACAGAACGTATTTATGCCAAATGAGGAGAAAAACTGCAAATTTAATTAAAATTTTATGACCACTGTCATCTGCAATTAGGAGGAGGGACTGGCCAGAGGCTGTTCTGCTGCTGTGGACTGTCTGCAGTGGTTCTCCGCAGATGGGGTGTCCCTCAGGGAGCACTAAGCAGTCTGGCTCTGCTGGGGAGGGATTGCTACAGGCGCCCCCTCTGGTCGGTAGAGGCCAGGGGTGCTGCTAAACATCTACAGTGCACAACAAAGAATTATATGACCCACAATGACAGTAGTGTGGAGGCTGAGAAACCCTAGTTTACGGGATGTACTCTCAACAGGGGCAAACATTGGATCTCCAGGTCCAAAAAAATCCTTAGATGTTACAATGGTTTGTAACACTCCAAAGGGCCACAGTACATAAACAGTATATCTGTGTTATTAAAATTTCACAGTGGGGGGTAGGGGACACTTGAAAAAATGTCTAAAAGGCTCCTTAGGGGGGCAGTAATGAAATAAAGGTGGGCAGACCCCCTGAAGTGCAGCCTGAGGCCCTTCCCTCCCATTGCCCCTGGAGGGCCTCAGCAGCCTGGGCACTAACCGTGCGTCCCAAGCTGGGCTCTCACTCACTCACCAAACTCCTGCACCCTCAACACCTGTCTGGCCCCCTCAGTGTCCTCATCCAGAGAATGGGAAGAACTGCTCTGACCTCCGCCAAGAACGCTCAGTGCAGGGGAGGGGCCAGGACCCCCTGCCACACAGGCCGGCTCCTGCATACCTTGGAACAAGTCCAGCAGGTTTTGTCCCCATGAGGATGAATGTCCACTCCGGTCCAGGGAGGAACAGCTGGACTGTTGACCTCTGGTGACAGCAGACACAGGTTTGGACAGACTGTGGTTTTTCTCCATGACTAACACCAGTCTTTAATGTCTCACTCCTGTCCTAACCCACCCTCAAGGCCCACTCACCGGCCGTCCAGAACGTGCTCCCCGACCTCTCCTGCTTTTCCAAGTTCATAATAATATAAATGTTCCTGGCGGACCACTCACACCTGACAAGTCGGAGGAGCCCACTTACCACCTCACTTGTCTCGATGCATGCCCAAAGGGAATCAGACCCTTTGTAGATGTGATTTAAGAGGCTGCACCTTGACGGTTTGACCCTCGGCAACTGCTCTCGCACCCTGGCACCCCCGGAGCGCGCACCTGGACAGCGCGGCTGCAGGAGACCCGCGCTCGGGGCGAGGCGACCAGAGGAAGCCGGGCGGTTCCCGGGTGTCTGCGCCCGTCGCTCGGCACAGAAGTGAAGCTTCTCCCCAGGCTGGCGCGCTCCACAGCGCGGGGGCGAGGGGTCCTCCCCGCGCACCTGGCCCCCGCCGGCCCAGCCCGCGCCCCGGTGGCCGCAGCTCGCGTCCCGGCCCCGCGCCCCGCGCGGCCACAGCGGGCGGCCCGGGATGGAGACCGAGCGCGCGCAGCCCCGCGCCCCGACGCTCACCTCCGCCCGCCTCGCGCGGCTCCGGTGCGGGGACCAGGGACCCCGCGGCTTCTTCAGGGGGATCCCCCGCCCCTCCACCAACAGCACCGCCAGCAGCAGCGCGGCGAAGAGGAGTCTCGCTCTCCCGGGCAGCCGAGGCATCGTCTCCCTCCGAAGCCGCTCCGCCGGGCGCCACCGCGCCTCCCGACCCTCTCCGACGAGTTTGTGTAGGCTCCGGGCCTCGCCTCCTCCAGGGGCGGGGAGCCCGGGGGCGACGGCTCGGGCCTGGCCGCGGGGGCGCGCGGGGCGGGGGCGCGCGGCGCGCCGCCCTCTCCGGCCTGAGCGGGCAGGAGCGCGCGCACTGCTCTCGGGGTCAGCGCCCCGGGTGCCCCTCGTCTGCGGAGGGCTCGCTCCTCAGCGCTTCCTTTTATCTGGACCCCTCCCTGCCCTCTGTCCCCCCGCTGTCGCCGTCGCAGCCCCAAGCACATTTTTGTAGTGGGGAACTTGCAGCCCGCCGGCAGGCGCTCTGCAGCCCTGGGCGACGACTCCTGTGGGGTCGCCCTCCCCGCGGGCACTCCGACGGCGGCGACGCGCGAGCGGGAGCGCAGCCAGGGCCCAGCGGGTGAGGGGTGCGCGGCAGCCCAGCGCCGGACCCCTCAGATCTTGGGTAAATGTTTGTTTATGACTCCGTGTAGGTTTGCTTGGGGAGGAAGGCCTGGAAATGCCCCCCGGGCTCTTCCAGCTCTCCTGTTGGGCGTGGAGACCCGAGAAACACCTGCCACTCTGCACCCAGTTTTCTCACGGTGTTCTCACAACTCTTCCGAAACCAGGAGTGCGTTGAGACTCAGATAGGAGGATTGAAGGGAAACAAAGTTCTGCCACCCGGGAGCTGCCTTTTGGGATGTTGATTTTAAGCTGTTTATTAAGAAACGAGATTCAGAAAGAAACTTTGACTCTCCCCCTTTCCTGCCCAACAGATTCAGACAGAAAACCCTGTTTGGGGAAGGAGAGTTTAGGATGCTGCCTTAGCCTAATTTGATGTAAGAATGGTAAATAGAGGGCTCCGGGCAGGGGCTTGTTGGCTAGACACTGTGTTCCACTCTTCCTCAAGGACCTGTGAATCTCCTATTCCCATCCCGCCTTTTCTCCGTTGTCCAAAGATCTTCTATGTCCAATGTTGCTTCACTGTCTTTGGATTTCATGCTTATGTGAATTCCCCACGCGCATGTATTAAAAATTTTCCCTCCTATTAATCTGTTAATTTGATTATTAGCCCAGCTAGAAGAACTTAGAAGGTAGGAGGAAAGCAGTAATATGTTTTTAGCCCCCACAGGTTAAAGTCCCAGAAAGACAGCCACTAACCTATTTGAGGGAGCGGTCAGACGATCCTGCCCTGCTGCTGGGGGTCACCTACTTTTACTCTGGACGTGACAGTGGGACCACCACTCTCCCCAGTGCAGGGATCCTCACATTTAGGGCAGGAAATAAAACCTCAGTTTTATGATAAAGATCAGGAACTCGAAGGGGCAGTGACCAGTTTGGTGGCTTGGATCGGGGCTCTTAGGGAATGTGAGCTCAGTGACACAGGGCATGCTAGGGGGTGGGGTTTGGGCAGGTTAGTAAGGAGCAGCCAGAAGCATTAGGGGCACAGGAGGGAACACAGGCCTGCCTTGGGTTCACGGCAGGGGTGAAACTTGGGATCTGGGTGTAGCCACAGTGAAACTCTTAGGAGACTGGGCACATTTCTGAGAAAACACTTCTATGGCCAACAACACAGCCCAGGACTCTGCAGTGTTTTGAATAGTGCATCACAGGGATTACAGCCTGGGTCTGGAGACAGCCACAGGTTTGAATCTGGCTTCTGCCATTTACTAAGAAGTTGTTGTTATTGAACAAGTTCTTTGACCTCTCTGTGCTTTTGTCATCTGTAAAAGTGTGCATGTGGGTGGGTGGAGGGTACCTACTTCACAGGTGTGAGAAGTAACTGAGAATCTATGTTAAGAATTTATATTAGGCCCTGGCCGGTTTGGCTCAGCGGTTAGAGCGTTGGCCTGTGGTCTGGAGAGACCTGGGTTTGGTTCCCGCTAAAGGCACATACCTCGTTTGCAGTTTGTCCCTGGCCCTGGTTGGGTTGTGCAGGTGGCAGCCACTCGATGTGTCCCTTTCACGTCCATGTTTTTCTCTCTCTCTCCCTCCCACTCTAACTGAACAAAATATCGAAAAATGTCCTCGGGTGAGGATTAAAAAAAAAATTTATATTAGAATGTTATATAAAGTTGCCATTTTTTTTTGTTAAAAAGGTCAAATACTGGCAATTTCATATGCTTCACCCTAATCAGATGCCTGTGACATGGTAAACGCTAATGTTAGCCAAAAGAAACCTAGCATTTGAGCACCTGCTACATTGTATTGCTTTTACTAGACTAAATGGGAGGCCACCTTGTTGTTTGTTTTTTAGGATTTTTTTTATATAAAACTGTTTTTGACTCCAACCTAATATTTTTGTCTTTTCATCAAACTTTTGCATCAAACTCGGAGTTTGAAAATAATAGGTTTATTTATTCATGTGTACCTCTCTTAAAGGCACAGGATTTTTTTTTTTTCTCTCCAGGTTTTATTTTGTTTTGTTTTTAATTCAGTGAACAGAAAGGAGGTGAGATTGGGGATTTCTCCCGAGGACCCTAGCTGGGTTAAGTTATATACTTCAGGGACTACCCTAATGACAGTGTAGATCCCTCCCCACCATTGGGTAGGGCCAGAATAGGATTGGTATCACACAGCCAGAATTTCCTGTGCCCTTAAATGAAATTGTAATTGTATAAGGGTGGGCAAACGTAGGTTTACAGTTGTCAGTATGCAAAACACAGAGTTTATTCCTGTGTTATTATTTTTTAATTACTGTATTATTTATTTGTATTACAACTGTAAACCTATGTTTGCCCACCCCTGTGTATCATTTATACCTAAGTATAAATATGTTGGGTGTTAATACCAACCAACGAGGGTTCTACTGAAGGGTCCCATGGATCAAACTGTATCAGGTGTGTTCCTGGAAAACATGGTGGTGGTAATTAAGTAGTTGTTTGTCAAGGTTATATGAGTGATTAAATTGGTACCTTAGGGCCCAGCTGGTGTGGCTTATTTGTTGAGCATTGACCCATGCACTAACAAGTCGCTGGTTCGATTCCCTGACAGGGCACATGCCCAGGTTGTGGCCTGATCCCCAGTGGGGACATGCAGGAGGAGGCCAATAGATGTTCTCTCTCATAGATGTTTCTATCTCTCTCTCTCTCTCTCTCTCTCCCTTCCTGTCTCTCTAAAATCAATAAAGAAAAAAATATAAACAAAACCAAATAAATTGGCACTTCAGGTTTCTGAATATTAATAAGGTGAGCCAAAGTGGGAGTCCAAGATGGCAGCTGATTAGGTGGAAGCTACACTGACCTTCTCCCAGGACCAAACTGGAATTACAACTAAAATATAGAAAAACTATCCTGAATAACTAACTGCAGACTAGCTGGAGAGAAGCTTTATAACCTTATAAGGACTTAAAGAGGAAGCCACATGGAGACTGGTAGGAAGTGCAGAGCTGCAAGAGGGCTGGCTGGGTTCCCACAGGCAGCAGCTGAAGTTCTGGAGGGATATCTCAGCTGTGGGGCTTAGTTCCTGCTGAGCACTATAGCTGGAGGCTCATTAAGTGACTGAGACTAACAGATAGGCTGCAGGCTGAGGTGGATTCCTGGGTGCTTTGAGTCTTTGCCTGACCTGCTCCTGGACCTGGCGCTAGTAAAAGCAGATCTTGATCCACACATGGTCCTTTCCATGTGCACCCAGGCCGAGTAGAGGGAGCCACAAGCTGTGGATTACTGATAACTCTAAACAGGCTGCTCAGGGCCAAGCACAGACAGGGTCTGACATTGGCCTGCACCAGAGTCCCCAGAGAGGCTCAGACCAATACAACCAGTGACCAGCTTCAGACAACAACAGAACAGGATCCAATAAGCTTCACAAGCAGCTACCCACAGGGATATATTGGCAGGCACCAAACCCTGCTGAGGCAAATTCTGTTTCATGTGATCAGCACCTGCACAGCAGCCTGCACACTATATTGTGGGTTGAGCCTCACTATCAGCTGGCCTGAGGGTTGAGCCCATGAACAAATAGGTCAATAGCAATCAAGACTCAATTACAACAAGAGGGCTCACACAACATGCACAAGGGACATTCTTAGAGCATCCAGTTGTGGTGATCAAGGAGACTGTGTCATTGAGTTCCACAGGTCACCTACTACATAAGGCCACCCTACCAAGCCTGGGAGTCATAGTATATATACCTCATACACAGAAGTAAACACAAACAGGCAGCCAAAGTCGGGAGACAAAGAAACAAGCCCCAAATGAAGGAACAAGAGAATTCTCCAGAATAAGAGCTAAATGAAGTGGAGGTAAGCAATTTATCAGATAGAGAGTTTAGATTAATGATTATAAGAATGCTCAAGAGCATGAAAAAGGATATAGAAACCATAAAAAAGGACCAGTCAGAAATAAAGAATGCCATATCTGAAATAAAAAATACACTGGAAGGAAGAAACAGCAGGCTCAATGAAGCAGAAGATCAAATCAGTGATTTGAAAGACAAAGTAGAATAAAAAAATGGATCAGAGCAGCAAACAGAAAAAATACTTTTAAAAAATGAGAATAGGCCCTGGCTGGTTTGGCTCAGCAGTTAGAGCATCGCCTGGCGGTCTGGAGAGACCCAGGTTCGGTTCCTACTAAGGACACATAACTTGGTTGCAGTTTGTCCCCAGCCCTGGTTGGGTCGTGTGAGTGGCAGCCACTCGATGTGTCCCTTTCACGTCGATGTTTCTCTCTCTTTCTCTCTCTCTCCCTTCCACTCTATCTGAACAAAATATTGAAAAATGGCCCTGGCCAGTTTGGCTCAGCGGTTAGAGCATGGGCCTGCGGTCCGGAGAGACCCGGGTTCGGTTCCCACTAAGGGCATGTACCTCAGTTGCAGTTTATCCCCGGCCCTGGTTGGTTGTGCGGGTGGCGACCACTTGATGTGTCCCTTTCACATCGATGTTTCTCTCTCTCTCTGTGTTCCTCTCTCTCCCTCCCACTCTGTCTGAACAAAGAATGGAAAAATGTCCTCGGGTGAGGATGATAAAAAAAATATATATATATTGAAAAATGTCCTTGGGTGAAGATAAAAAAAAAAAAAAAAGAATAGTTTAAGGGTCTTTTGGGACAATACGAAGCATAAAAACATCTGCGTTATAGGGGTGCCAGAAGGAGAAGAGGGAGAGCAAGAGATCAAGAAATCATTTGAAGAAATAATGTCTGAAAACTTCCCTAAACTGGTGAAAAAAGACATACAGGTCCAGGAAGTGCAGAGAAACCAAAACAAGATGAACCCAAAGAGGCCCATTTCAAGACACATCATAATTAAAAGGGCAAAGATTAACGACAAGAAAAGAATCTTAAAAGCCACAAGAGAAAGGCAGTCAGTTACCGACATAGGAGCTCTCATAAGACTGTCAGTGTATTTCTCAACAGAAACATCTCAGGCCGGAAGGAATTGGCATAAAATATTCAAAGTGATAAAAAAAAAAAACAAAGACCTACAACCAAGGCTACTTTACCCAGCAAGGCTATCATTTAAAATTGAAGGAGAAATAAAGAGCTTCCCAGAAAAGACAAAGCTAGAGTTTGTTACCACCAAACCAGCATTACAAGAAATGTTAAAGGGCTTGCTTTAAGAAGCAGAAGAAGAAACCCTGACCAGTTTGGCTCAGTAGTAGAGCATTGGCCCATAGACCAATGAGTTACGGGTTCGATTCCGGCCAAGGGCACGTATCTCGGTTGCGGTTCATCCCCAGTCCTGGTTGGGTCATGCAGGAGGCAACCAGTTGATGTGTCTCTGTCATGTCAGTGTTTCTCTCTCTCTCCCTCTTTCTCCCTCTCCCTCACATCAATGTTTCTCTCTCCCTTCCTCTCTAAAAACAAAACAAAACAAACAAAAAAAAAACAATAACAACATATTTATTTATTTTAAAAATATTTTTCTATTGATTTTTTTAGAGTGAGAGGAAGGGAGAGAGAGATAGAAACATTGGTGTGAGAGAGAAACATCAATTGGCCTCTTCCTGCACGCCCCTCACTGGGGATCAAGCCCACAGCCTGGGCATGTGCCCTGATCGGGAATTGAACCAGGACCTCTCAGTTCATAGGACAACATGCAATCCACTGAGCCACACGGGCTGGGCAATAAAAACATATTTTTAAAAAATTGACTAACCTTTAACCAGACTCATCAAGAAAAAAAGAGAGAAACCAAATAAATAAAATCAGAAATGAAAGAGAAGTAACAACTGACACCAAAGAAATATGAAAGATTGTAAGAAAATATTATGAACAAATATATGCCAATAAACTGGACAATCTGGAAGAAATGGATAAATTTCTAGGAACATACAATCTTCCAAAACTAAATCAGGAAGAATCAGAGAATCTGAATAGACATATTACATTAGTGAAATTGAAGCAGTAATAATAAAAATAAAATAACTCCCAACAAACAAAAGCCCTGGACCAGATGGCTTTATAGGTGAATTTTACCAAACATTCAAAGAACTAACACCTATCCTTCTCAAACTATTTCAAAAAAATTCACAAGGAGGGAAGACTCCCAAGCTTATTTTACAAGGTTAGCATTTATCCTAATTCAAAAACTAGATAAAGACACAACAAAGAAAGAAAATTATAGGCCAATATCTCTGATGAACATAAATGCTAAAATCCTCAACAAAGTCGCTCACTCTCTTTCTGCTGCCATCTTGGTTCCGCATTCACTGCACAAAATGCCCAGTGAAGCCACAGAAACCGGCCCTGCTACAGAGCAAGAGTTGCCACAGCCCCAGGCTGAGACAGGATCTGGAACAGAGTCTGACAGTGATGAGTCAGTACCAGAGCTCGAGGAACAAGATTCCACACAGGCAACCATACAATAAGTCCAGCTGGTGGCGGCAGCTGAAATCGATGAAGAACCAGTCAGTAAAGCAAAACAGAGCCGGAGTGAAAAGAAGGCACGAAAGGCTATGTCCAAACTGGGTCTTCGACAGGTTACAGGGGTTACTAGGGTCACTATCCGGAAATCGAAGAACATCCTCTTTGTCATCACAAAACCAGATGCCTACAAGAGCCCAGCTTCAGATATCTATATAGTTTTTGGGGAAGCCAAGATCGAGGATTTATCTCAGCAAGCACAGCTAGCAGCTGCCGAGAAATTCAAAGTTCAAGGTGAAGCTGTCTCAAACATTCAAGAAAATACACAGACTCCAACTGTACAAGAGGAGAGTGAAGAGGAGGAGGTTGATGAAACAGGTGTGGAAGTTGAGGACATAGAACTGGTCATGTCACAAGCAAATGTGTCAAGAGCAAAGGCAGTCCGAGCCTTGAAGAACAATAGTAATCATATTGTAAATGCTTTTATGGAATTAACGATGTAACCATCTAAAAAGAACAACCTCTTTTTTTTTCTTCCTTTTCTTTTTTTTTTTTTTTTGGTGTTTCTAGAGAGTTACTGCAGCTTGGTTTGAAATTTGTACTGTTTGTATCATTAATAAAGTTATAACTTCTTATGGGATAAAAAAAAATAAATAAAATAAAATCCTCAACAAAATATTAGCAAACTGAACCCAGCAATACATTAAAAAGATCATACACCATGATCAAGTGGGATTTATTCTGGGGATGTAAGATTGGTACAATATCTACAAAACAATAAACGTGATACACCACATAAATAAATAGAAGGATAAAAATTACATGATCATATCAATAGATGCATAAAAGGCATTTGATAAAAACCTAGCACCTGCTTTTGATAAAATTCTCAGCAAAGTGGGAATGGAAGGCCCATAACTCAATGTAATAAAGGCCGTATACGACAAACCCACAACCAACATCATATTCAATGGGCAAAAACTATCAGCATTCCTCTTAAGATCAGGAACAAGACAGGGATGTCCGCTTTCACCACTCTTATTCAACATGGTACTGGAAGTTTTAGCCACAGCAATTAGACAAGAAGAAGAAATAAAAGGCATCCGAATTGGAAGGAGAAGTACAACTGTCATATGCAGATGACATGATATTGTATATAGAGAACCCTGAAGATGCCAACAAAAACCTACTAGAACTGATCAATGAATTCAGTAAAGTAGCAGGATACAAAATAAATATCCAGAAATTAGTTGCATTTAAAAAAATATGTTTATATTGATTTTCTAGAGAGAGGAAGGGAGAGAAAGAGAGAGAAAGAGACATCGATGTGAGAGAGAAACACCAATCAGCTGCCTTCAGCACGCCCCTCACTGGGGATCAAGCCCACAACCCAGGCAAGTGCTGCAACTGGAAATCAAACCAGGACCTCTCAGTCTATGGGTCAGCCCTCAATCCTGTGAGCCACACCGGCCGGGCCAGTTACATTTTTATACACCAATAATAAACTATCAGAAAGGGAAACTAAAAAAAAAAAAAAAAAAAATCCCATTCACAATTGCTTCAAAAAGAATAAAATACCTAGAAATAAATTTAACCAAGGATGTAAAAGACCTATACTTGGAAAATTATAAGACACTGAAGAAAGAAACTGAGGAAGATACAAATAAGTGGAAGTATATACTGTGTTCATGGATAGGAAGAATTAATATAATTAAAATGTGTGGGAGACTGTTTGCATGGCATCCATTTTGCAAAAATCTGCTCTGCCATCTCCTGCCCCAAGGCAGGATATCTCTGTCTGCATCTCTGCATACAATGTTTCTGCATTCCTTTAAGTAACCATTTACTCAGCCAGTTATGCTGTTTGTCTTTTGTTCCACCTGTGATATTTACATGATATTTACTTGAAATTGCTTCGGGGTGGTCACCACAGACATGCTTGGCAACAAATGTTCTTGTTTTTCTGCTCCTTGCCCTATATATACTGTGGATCTCCCCAGAATAAATGAGACTTGATCAGAGCCCTGTCTTGTCTCCATTTCTCGTGTCTCTTGTCCCTCCTCATCCTCACTCCCCCTCTAGAGTCCTCGTTGCTCGACCTGCGGGACGGGTCAAAAATGTCCAAACCACCCAAAACAATCTACACATTCAACACAATCCCTATCAAAATACCAATGGAATATTTAACAGAACTAGAGCAAACATTTCAAAAATTTGTATGGAACCACAAAAGACCCCAGATAGCAACAATGATTTTGAGAATAAAGAACAAAGTTGGAGGAATCACCCTACTTGATATCAAACTATACTACAAGACTACAGTAATCAAAACAGCATGGTACTGGCATAAAAACAGACATATAGATCAATGGAACAGAACAGAGAGTCCAGAAATAAATCCACACCTTTATAGTCAATTAATATTTGACAAAGGAGGCAATAATATACAATGAACTAAAGATAGTCTATCCAATAAATGGTATTGGGAAAATTGGACAGTAACATGCAAAAAAGAAAGAAAGAAAGAAACTAGACCACCTTCTTATACCACACACTAGAGTAATCAGAATGGATTAAAGACTTAAATGTTAGACTTGAAACCATAAAAATCCTAAAAGAAAACAGGCAATAAAACCTCAAACATTTCTTGTAGCAATATCTTCTCTGATATATCTCCTCAGGCAAGGGAAACAAAAGAAAAAATAAATGGGACTATATTAAACTAAAGAGTTTTTGCACAGCAAAGGAAACCATCAACAAAATGAAAAGACAACCCACTGAATGGAAGAACATTTCACCAATGATACATCTGATTAGGAGTTAATATCCAAAATTTATAAAGAACTTATAAAACTCAACATTTAAAAAAAATTAAAAATGAAACTGCCTTATGACCCAGTGACTTCACTTCTGGGAATTTACCTGAAGAAACCTGAAACACTAATTTAAAAGAATATATGCATCTCTATGGTCATTGAAGCATTACTTACAATAGCCAAGATTTAGAAGCTGCCCAAGTGTCCATCAGTAAATGAGTGGATACAAAAGCTGTGGTACGCCCTGGCCAGTTTGGCTCAGTGGTTGAGCGTTGGCCTGCGGACCAGAGAGTCTCAGGTTCCGTTCCCACTAGGGGCATGTACCACAAAAAAAACCACACAAAAGATGTGGTACATTTACACAATAGAATACTACTCTACCATAATAAGGAATAAAATTTTATCCTTTGCAACAGCATAGATGGACCTGGAGAACATTATGTTGAGTGAAATAAGCCAGTCAGAGAAAGACAGTATCATATGATTTCACTCATAGGTAGAATTTAAAGAACAAACTGAACTACCAAGCAAAATAGAGACAGACTCATAGAGAGTAGGCAGACAGCTCTGGTTGGGGAGGGGAGTTATGGGAGGTGGCAAGATTGAACAACAACAACAACGACAAAAAACCAGAGTTCTTGGGAACATGGATAAAAGGGTAGTGATTATGGGAGTGGAGAGGTGGAAGAGGGCATAGAGGGATAAATGGTGATGGAAAAAATTTAAAAAATATATAATTTAAAAAGGAAAATTACGTTAGCCAAAAGTTTTTTTGTTTTACTTTGTTTTTCTTTATTGACCTTCGAGAGAGAGGAAGGGAGAGAGAGAGACAGAAACATTGATGAAAGAGAACATTGATTGGCCACCTCCTGCATGCCCCCACTGGGGATCAGGCCCACAACCTGGGCTTGTGCCCTGACCGGGAATTGAACTGGTGACCTCTTGGTACATGAGTTGACACTCAACCATGGAGCCACACTGGCCGGGTTAGCCAAAAGTTTTTAATGGCTCGGTGGGTAAGATTGTTGGCTCCATTGCCATTGTTATCTAGTTTCCAGGGTACCCCTGATAGTTGTTTAAGACCATATGTTTCATTGCCAAATTCATCTTTTAATGGTAGGATATCTGCCTTTCAATGGCCAGTGCTATTTAGTAATCTATTCCCCCAATGAACTGAGCTATTAATGGATTTGACTTCATAGCTAGTATTGTTACATACAGGGTGAAGCTATGGCTGGTGATATTGATTCTACAGTATTATTATATAGACAGAGGAAAACTTCTCCCCAAAATGAATCTGAGCCTAATTGGTTTCTAATGCACAGGGGTGGGCTTGTCACTAATGTGGGCGCCTGCCCGACAACCTCACAGTATATGGCTGCCTCTTCCTTTTTAACCCACTGAGTGTAGCCCGCCCCCAGCCCAATCATTCACTGTGCGGGTGTATAGAGTATAGTCACATCCTGCATATGACCCACCGCAGTGTATTAGGGAGGCTAAACTTACAGCTTTGAGGGGAGGGTCCTCACCAGCATTTATTTTGGTGCATATCCAACAGTTTGCTAGGTTGCCTATCTGTGCTGCCTTTTGGACGGCCAGGGCCCATGGATGTTTAAAATTGGTTGCGAGAAGGAATTTGGGGATAATGAGTGAGAGGAGGGTGAAAGAAAGGTTTGGACCTGGATGTTCATAGTTTTAGGACTTATGTTATGAGCTAATATATCTCAGGGAGGAGTCCTCCTGTAAGAGAAAAGTCAAGATGATAACCTAAAGGTTGAAGGTATCAGTTTAATGAGTATGGGATGGGATGTTTTGGTTTGTCTTATTTTATTTTTATTTAGAACACATTTTAGCGGCTTGGTGATGATGCTGTCATTTGGCTTTCCTTCTATCCCCACTATTTCTCTTTGGTCATATTCTCTGTCAAGTCTTCAAGACTAAGTAGGTGGCCACTGTGTTGACTTGGAAGTCGACCTTTTTTATCCCCTACGGTCAGGGTCAGCCTGAGCTCCTCAAGGTAACTCTCAGGGCCTTCTGAGGAGACCTTCATCCCCTTTATTCCTCTTTCCCTGCCTGCACCATCTGTAGGGACGGGCACTCCATTTAGTTTTCTTTGGAAACGTTTGGGGCATTATCCTTTCCAATGCCCCTCTTTGCGTATGGTTGGGCACAAGTCTTTAGGGCTGTTGAGGTGCCCCTGTCCAAGGACCCAAGTGACTCACCAGAAGGGTGGATCTCATCGTCCCCAGGAGCGTGGTTGACCCTGAACCGCCAAGACCAAAATGTTGGCTATTCTCTTGGGCCTCCTTGGCTTCCACCTTGAGGTCTTGGTTGTTGAACGTTTGGAAGGCCAGTTCCGCCAATCTGAAGGTTGGGGTGGTAGGTTCTGTCTCCAATATTGCAGTTTTTTCCTACTGTCTGGAGCACTTGGTGCTATAAAGTGGGACCAAACTACTGCATTTCCTTCTTTAGACTCTGGGTCAGTACTGGTGTAGATGCACAGGCATGTCTTAGGTCTTTCTAAGAAAGCACAGGGATTCTCTTTAGGTTCCTGGGTGATTTCCCAGATTCCAATTAATAGGGTTCTCTGCCAGCTGCCCATATTCCCTTAAGGATCATATTTCTAAAATGGCTAAGTCGGCCGCCTCCTATATTGCCCCTAAAGTCTCAATTAAGATCCATCTTGG